CCATCTTTGCAGACAAGCATGAGGCTAAATTAAAAGGAGTGATATACTTTCAAGCCATTGAAGAAGTGTATTACGATCACCTCAAGAATGCTAATAAGGTGAGTATCATATTCCTCAGCTTCTGCAACTTTTTTTTCCCTAGGGCCCTTTGTACTCCAGGCAACTTGATTTATCCTCAGCCCTTTTTCATGTTCTATTTCTTGAGACAGGGTTTCCTGGACTGGCTTTGAACTTGCCATGCCCCGGCCTCAGCCTCCTGAGCAGCTGGTGTCACAAGCATGTGTAACTAGAACAATCTACAGTGTGGATGTGTAATTAAGTTAGGTTATTTGGGGATTTTAGGTGATTCAGAGGCTGTGTTCTCACATGATGAACAAATATGTTCAGAACACTACTGCAGGTTGAAATTGAGAATAGTTGGGTAAATGATTGTTTTTAGGGATAAAGTCACAATGTAATAAGGAAAGGTTCTGATGATACTGACAAACCACTCTGCAAGCATTTTTGGAAGGAACTACTTAGTATATAGTTAGGAAGGCAAATCATAACTTTAAAAGGCCAGGAATAACCACTATTATTTACTGAGTAGCTCCTGTCAGTTAGACACCATGCTTTGCCAGCTAGTTAGTGAATCCGTGAGCTCAGCATGAGATTTCTTATAGAAAAGCCCGACAGATGGTCCATCCTGAGGAAGGGGGTAGGGGTGCAGGGGGACGCTGTAGTGTAGCATAAAATACCTTTATAAATTCCTGTCGAGGGCAACTTTTAAAGCAGAAGAACCTTACGTTCAACTTTCCAAGTGTTTCTTTGACGTTCTTTTCTCGTTTTTGAATTCCAGAGCCCCAACCCCTTACTCACATTTAGTGTGAAGACCCATGACAGAATCTATTACATGGTGGCCCCCTCTCCAGAGGCCATGCGGATCTGGATGGATGTAATAGTGACTGGAGCAGAAGGATACACTCACTTCCTGTTGTAATGAACTTCGGCAATGGTCCGCTTCAGGGCAGACTGCAATAGTCTCTTTACGAATGAAGCCATATCCAGCCTCAGATGGAAAGGCCCAGCAGACCACCCCTTTAACTGTGTGCACGCAGAACTCTTTTCATACTGGGGAAGAAGAAGGCAGGGCTCATCGTGAAAGAACTGGGGCTCCTCTGACAAAAACAAAAACAAAACACTATTTTGATAAAAGCATCCTTTACATGCACATTTCTCATAAACTCTTTATTAGTTGATGTTGTTTAAATAAACTGATCAGTTTACACAATGTCTGTAAATATGTGCTTAGAATGAGACTATTTTAGCACCCAAATCATTGCCATTGGTAATCAACTGCCTTCTTTATAGGAAGTAGCATCTTATAAAAATAAGCAAATAATGACTTAGAAGGCAACAGATTTTTGACATTTTGCCTTAATTTTTAAATACTGCCCGAAAACCAAAGACATGGCTGGACTCCTGTTCAATATCAGTGTTACTCTCTAACTAAGCTTTAAAATGGTATTTTGATGCCAACCCTGTAGTGCCCTCAAAGAAGTGACTATGCATAGATAGTAAACTGCTTTCTTAAAAGAATTATTTTTTAAAGCTCCTTGTTTTAGAAAAGGCCTTCTCATACAACAAAAACCTGTGACATCAGGTAGTTTTTAAGGAGAATATTTAGTTGGAGGAGCCTATTCTGTTGAAGATTTGCCCATTCCTAGTGCTGAGAATAAGAGCAACCAGTAGCCAGTTTCCTCTAGACTGCCCAGTTCCTCTTGCTTATGGGCAAGGCTGTTACCTGTGCTCTCCCACGGATAACTATGAAACCATCTCTGTTTTGCTGACAAACAGAACAATTAAAGTATCTTTTTATTGAGACAACCAAAATTCAAGTTAACATACTCTGCTATATCTTTTTACATATATCTTTACAAATAGCCTTGTTTTTAAAGCTAATTTTTTGTTGAATGAAATGACTTCAGGCAAGTCTTTTATAATCATTTTCCAAGTGCCATTTATTTTAGTTTTTGTTTTGTGTTTGTAAGTATGAATGAATTCGTTCCTAAAACATGCAAAATGGATAGAAGTAGAAGTAGAAAATATTGACATTACTTACTCGTACACGTGAAATGATTAGAAATGTCCATAAAATTTTGTCAGGCCTGACTGGGTACAATTTTTTTAAACTTACAGTGTACTTTTATACCTGTATACACGTTACCAATAATAAGATTTTGCAACTGGATGATGCAAGGTTTTACTTGAATGAGGGACAAATATCATGACTAAGAGGTATTTTCATCTGTGATTTTTTTTGCATTAGTCCCCTTAACTCTAGTGATCTAAAACATTAAAATGCAAATTGCTGAGGTTTGGTTGGTTGAAGAAAGACACAACTTTTCTGTACTGTACTTTCTCCATAGGATTGTAAGGGTGTTCTAATCAACTTGCATGTCTGAACCTTTTCGATATGTGTGTGTTAAATGTACTGAGTTTGGATTAAAGTGTTGACCTGATTTCACATTTGAAAGTAAACTCTTTCACTTTGCAATCGCCTATCTGTAACATAACAGAGGATGAGTTCATCAGCAGAATTTGACAGTAGAATCTACATATGTGCTGACATTATGATTAGAAATTCATAAACGAAAATAATTGGAAGCCTCTCCGGCCACATTTCTATTACAGACAAAATGAGGTAAACACTGAAAAATCTTACATATTCTTAATCCAGCGCCTTAGACCGCTCGGCCACGCTACCTTGACAAATCTTACATATTCTTATCTTTTTGTATCAATTAGCTATTACTTCCCTAAAGGGTATAATGCAAACGTGAAAGAAAGTGCCACTTGGTGGGGAACTCTTCATTCTTGATGTCGAAGAGAGAAGCTGCCTTCAAAAAAACAAATCAAAACACGGTCTTTTACTTTTGTATGCTGATGGAAGGAATGATGACCAAAAAAAGCCTTTAGTAAAGAAACTGTTTTACTTTAAATCTATTACTGTCAGGAAGGTATTTTGACAGTGCCACAGGACCACTTAGGTTCCTTATTTGTTTTGCTGGTAAGAGTGGATTGAGAAAGCACTCCATGGGTTTCCCCCCTTCTATATGTATATACAGTACTTTCTTCATTAGGATAATTTACATGATTTTTAAAATTCTGCACACTGAAAACAGAGTGGACAAAATGGATGGACGCTAACAGTACCAAGGATAAGTTTCTGCTGTAAGATACATGAGGTAGAATTCACTGGTCATCAGTCCTTTGGTGACTATATCTGCTCTGGTCCTATCTCTGAACTGTCCTGTATCCCAGCTGTCAAAACGGGTCTGTAAAAACTTCAGTTTTGACCCTGGCCACTGATCATGCTAATGACTTGAGAGACAGTGACAGGAAAACAGAGTTTTATTGACACCAAGCTGCCAGGTGGAAATAGAAGAGCTTCCATTCAGGGTTCATGGGATTTGTGGGGAGTCTCATTTTAGCACACCCACGTGGGCACCTGGCTACTTCACACAGTACTGTGCTCTCTTGAAGTTCCAATGCTGCTCACAGTCACCAGGAGTTCCTCTAATCTAAAAAGGGAATGGACAGCTAGGATCTGTTCCTTCGTGTTTTCTTTTCAGGCAAAGATAACTTTAATTAGTTAATTTAGGAATGGGCCATTAAAAAATGAAACAAACACAAAATGATAAAAAAAGATCTATTTCATTTTTCTTCACCAAGCTTCTCTGATGTGTTCTAAAGATCATATTCTCAAGACTCCAAAGGCATGCCTGGCTTTGCTTTTAACTCTGATACTTCTCCCAAATCTCTCAAGGGATGGTGTCAAGTTTACGTCTGTCATTGTGGTGAGTGGCGTGACCAAAGGCAACTTAAGGGAGAAAAGGGATTATTTAGCTTACTCGTTACTGTTCATCACTGAGGAAAGCCAAGGCAGGAATTCACAGCAGAGGCTTGAAGCAGCAACCACCCAGAAATATTGTTTGCTAGCTTCCAGGCCCACAGTCAGCTACTTTTCTTATACAGTCCAGACCAGTCAGCAATTAAAGAAAATGCCCGACAGACGTGCCTACAGGCCAGTGTGATGGACATGAGCATTTGTCAGTTGAGATTCCCTCTTCCCAGATACTGAAAAGTGACCAAACTAACCAAGACAAATAGTAACTATTTAGTATTGCACTAAGTACAATAATTTCAACCAGAATACACAAGATAAGGCATATACTGAGTTATACTTGATTCCCACCGCCCGTCCCCCCATTATTTTGAAGGATGTCAGAATTTAGAGATCCTAGTATCACAATTTATTCAATTGTTTTTCTATAGACATTGATTGTTCCTCACCTTTTTTTAATTTAAAAAAAAATGTTGCTGTCATTAGGTAATACACGACCTTATGAACTCGAGTCCTTTTATTTAGGATAGTCAAAGGTGGGGGGGTAGTTCGAAGAGTACCGAAATTTATGCGCATTGTAATAAACATGAACAGATTGCCTAACAAAAGGCTTCAGATTGTCACTCACCTAGCAACCATATGTGTTTCTAGTATCTTTGCTTATGGGTGCTCATTTGAATTTTTGGCAGTCTGGAGGAGCGGGAAAATGTTTGTTTGGGAGAGAGCAAAGAATGCCGGTGCTACTTCAATGATGTGAATTTAAGATTAAGAAACCTTTCCCGCATAAACTGAAACGGAGCCCTGGGGACTGGTAATGCAAGAAGCCTAGCAATTTTTGTCACTGTTTTTTGGGTCCTCCGAGTAATAACATGGTTTTCCTTCTATGAACGTTCAGTCTGACCCTGGCTCCTCGCCGAGGTTTCCGCAGCTTACAGTGAAGAAAGCCGGCCAAGGCCGCCCCAATGTCACAAGCCAAACGCCCTTTGGGGAAATGACAACCTACCCAACAAATTGGCACAGTACTCACCACCGTGCGCATGCGTCTCCGCACTAGCCGCAACTCCCACGTGATGCAGCTTAGCAACCTCCCCCTTCCTGCGCACTGCGCGTGCGTAACCTCGGGACTCCGTGGCGGGCGCAGGGGCAGCTGGGAAGATGGCGGCCTGGCTACCCTGTTGGAGGTGGGGCTGGGCGGCTGTATCCTTCGGCCGGCACCGACGCCTGAGCGCGTCGCTCGCTCGGAAGACCCCCCGCGCTTGGTGGCTCCCAGGTTAGCGTACCGGAGGCTGGGACTCTTTCCGCCGTTGGTAGCCGCGGAGAGCCTCCTTGAGGCTCCATTCAAAACTGCTCTGTGGCTTTCTGGGCACTAGGAGCACTTCTGGGGAAGACTGGGGGGGGGACAATACTTTCTGCTGAGGCCCCGGGGAGTTCTTGGAGGTCCTTGGCAGCGTTTTACTCAGCGATTTAAGGAGCTTTTGCGTTCTTTGACTCAAACACTGAGACCGGAAAAAAGAAACAAATTCAGATATGCATGTAATGTGTGTGGTTATTGCCTGCTTCTAGGGCTTTGCATGTCGTTACTTTGTTAAATGCTTAGTCCTGCCCAGGATTGACTTAAGGAAACAGAGTATGAGGCATGTTCTTTGTACATGTAGATGCCATCTTTGGACCTAATATATGATTTTTCTTCTCGAAAGAACTATAATTACTTTACAATGAAAACTAGAATTTGTATTAATAATATTGTATATGTAGAATATATGGTATATCATATATTCAGGTGATTGATCTATACATATATCATTGAAATATACATATGACATATGTAGGGAAATGGGACCAGCCAAAGAAACACACTTTGGCCCTGCAACCAGAACCAAAGAAATGTACCGTAACCCTGAAACCAGTGCCAAAGGAACACACTTTGTCCCTGGAATCTGAGTCAGTGAAAGAAATGCACCCTGGCCCTAAAATTGGAGCCAAAAAGCTAAAAAGAACCAGAGAAAGAAACACACTTTGGCCATGAAACCAGAGCCAAATCTGATCCTAACCCTGTGCAGAAAACTAACCAATCACTGAGCAGGAGCTCTAGCCAATCTGAGCTCAGCACTAAAATCTGACCAGTCCCCACCCTGGAAGCCCTATATAAACCCTGTGTCTGGTCAGCTTGTGGCTGTTCATGCCACTCTGGCAGAGGGCAGCTGCTCTCCTGGATTTTCCTTCCCAATAAACGCCTTGGATGAGCTTTGGGTAAAGATCTTCTTTTGCGGAGGCAGAGCAGAGCAAGCAGGGCTGTAACACTTTTGCCAGGGAAACCTTTCCTTGGCAGAGTGGAGTTGTTACACTCGGCTACCCGCTCTCTGCTCTCCAGGAGCAGAGCTGAACTGTAGCAACTTCTCCCAAGAAACCTCCTGCGGAGTAAAACTGCTACACTAGGCGAACATCCCCAGCTGGAGGACCCTGTCCTGCCTATAGCTGGGGAAGCCTTTCCCTGAGGCCCGGCTGTAAGCAGCTAAGCTTACTACAACCTATGGTAGTCCTTGCTTGGCTCCTGAGCTCCAGGATACCTTTCCACCTGAGCTGTGTAACACTCAGTATTCTGTGGCTCCCGAGTCCCAGAATACCTGTCCCATCCCCATCCAGCCTAAAATGCCAACAACATATATGTATAATATATATATATATATATATATATATATGATATAGCTGGGAATGATATCCTTGGTGTGCCTTTGGCAACTTTGCTACACAGCTGTTAAATAGATGCATAGAGTTTTGGAATAGTAATGTCATTATATAAGTTAACATGGTTAAGTTTTTTAAAGTATGTAACCAGTTTAATTTATACTGCACACCACAAAACAAAAAGCTTGACTATTATGTAATCTTATCAATTTATAGTATTTAAATTTGTTAGCAAGAATAAAATATTCCTTTATCTCTTTATCGATATTCATTGACCATATATGCCATCAGGCTTTCCTTATTACATAGAGATGATTTATGTTGAGCCTGCTGTTTTGGGCTTTTTGTTTTCTTTTGTTTTTTTTTGTTTGTTTGTTGTTGTTGTTTTGAGACAAGGTTTTTCTGTGAAACAGTCCTGGCTGTCCTGGAACTCACTTTGTAGACCAGGCTGACCTCACATCACAGCGATCTGCCTGCCTCTACCTCCAGAGTGCTGGGATTAAAGGCATGCGCCACCAATGCTGGGCAAGCCTGTTATTCTATAGCTCACAAACAAATCAGTAATAACTTCGTAGGATGAATGTGGGAGGTAACGTCTGAAAGGGGATAAAAGGATTACTTGTGTGTTTAAGGAAACGGGGAATAAACATTGATGCTGATACAATCCATTGACTGGCACTAACTGATCCCCAGAAGCTCTGTTTTTCACCAAGTTTTAAACTTGGCATATATTCCCATACTTTGAAACTTTGGATCTGGTTGACAGGTAAAGGCGATAGATTTTTGATTTGTGTGTGCTTGAGGAGTGTGCATGGGTTACTGGTGTTTGTAAGACAATATTTCACCATATTATTTCTGGCTCTCCTGGGACTCAGTGTACCCTTCCTGCCTGTTGCTCTTGAATGTTGCGGTTATGTGGTTATTAGGGTGTGTCACCACACTAGACTCTAATCATCTTTTTTAAAAAATAAACCTGACAAATTGAAAATGAGAAAATTTTTGCAGTACACGTGGGAGAGACCCAGAAGCCACACAGACTGTTTAATACTTATTTTTTAAAATAAGGGCTAGCAACAATAGCTCAACAAGTAAAGGCACCTTGGACCCACAAGGTGGAGGGAGAAAACTGTGTCCTGAGTTCCTCATATATGCATAGCATATACATATACACACTAAATAAGTAATTTTTTAAAAGAAAAGATTTATTGTTCCAGAAAAAGACTGTCCACGTGTATTCAAACCTGTCTTTGGAAGGAAGAAAGTGTGGTAGGAAATTACAGTGGTTTCTTACCTGTTTCTTGATATTCCCTCTTGGTATTTCTGGGGAGGACTGCTCAGGGATAACCTAGTCAGAAAGAGCTCAGTTACTAAGGACATCATCTTAGTACTTCTCAACTCCAGATTAGTTTACCTCTGCTCCCCAGATCATAGGATTGCTGGTGCTTGCGACTTTGCCAGTTCCTCTTTGAAATACTCTGCTAAAGGCAGAGGAAAAGGAAAGACAGAGTACACATGACTTCTTTTCCCCACTCTTATTTCCAGAAGTAGACAACATGAGATTCCTGAAACATGGTTAAAACAGAAAGAAATCTCCGGGGAGAGGCTAAGTGGTGTATTTAAATCCTAATGTCAATTACTGCTGTTTAGGATAATCACATGGCACCAACATGAAGATATTTTTTGATGAGTCTCTTTTGTTTCACTGAACTTTCCACCTCATTGTGTATTTTGGAAGAGTATGATTGGGCCTTGCTCTAAGAAGGTAAATTTTTTGATGTAACTTTGAAACTAAAAATCTCATGCTGGAAGCTATTTTTGATTTCCTATCAACTGCAATGAGTTAAGAAACTTATGATTTGAAAATATATGTGACTTTCCAAAAATACTTTTCAAGCTATAATTCATGCTTTGTGTACTTTGTTTAGCTTGCAGACAAAAGGTATCACTCTCTTTCCTTAAGCGACCAGATCTGCCAAGCCTGGCTTATAAGAGGCTAAAAGGCAAAAACCCAGGAATTATCTTCATCCCTGGCTATCTTTCTGATATGAATGGTATAAAGGCACGGGCAATTGAGGAGTTTTGCAAATCTCTAGGTCACGCCTGTATAAGGTAGGAATAATACATTTCAGAGGCTATATTACCATTTAGCATTGTAATGGAGCCAACTGAAGTAAATGCCAGCATTTGAGTAGATGAATTTATTATAGCAGTGCACAAACTTTGATCTTGTGGGTTAGGGTCTTTAAGGTCTTTGTGCCATACTGGCTAGATTGGCAGGAAAGAGCATCATAAGGGAACTACCAACTAGTTCTTTAGATACAGTAATCTGTGTGGCAAAAACATGTTCTCATTGGGTTTCTTGTAATCGCCTGTGATTATGGGTTGTGTCATGAAGACATAGGACTTATCTGCTCACTGTTTATTACTATCTAATACAGCTTAGGGGCACAAAAAGTGTTTTTAAAAGTAATATAATACTGTAAGGTTGATATTGTATAATTTACATTTCTGTTTTCTTTTTCACTTACATAATCTGAATGTGTGTGAACGTAAACAAGGATGGGTAGTGAGTGTTTAGTTAAAACTTAACAAAATTTGTTAGATTTATCACATTTTTTAATATTTTACTTTGAAGGAGGGAATATAGTTTAATGAATAAGGATCAAAGGCTAAATTCTTTCTGTGAAGAAACAAACCAGTAATACCCAGTAGATAGAGGCTTGTCATCCAGTAGAAGAAGAGTTTGTCTTCCAGTAGAAGAAGGCTAAAGATAATTTCTTTTCTAGCACAAACAGCCTGAAAATCTACTCATCTAAATGTAAAGAAGAATAATCTCACTAAGACTCATTCAGTAGTTCTAGAAAATATAGCTATATTAAAACTTTTAGGCATTATCTGTTCAGTAGATTTGCAGAAATTATGTTTTTAAGGTGGACTTAGTCCAGCTCCCTTTGTCAGACTAGCAAAATTATTTCATTCTCAGAGCTGTTTTTAAATCTCTTGACTTAACTTGCCTTGAAGATTGGAGGTGAATTAAGAATTATAAAACATTATACTTGCCCTTAAGCGAGGGGTGAAAATACATGCAGGTTGTTAGGCAGAAGTACCAGAATGTGCTTCAAAAGAAGAAATTACATAAGGTGGGAGACACTGAGGAGGGAATGGATGGACAAGACTTTACAAAGGAACTCTGGGAAAAACTGAAGATGTGGGTGAAGGGCAGTTCTATCTATGGAGAGAGATCGCTAAGGAGACCATACATAATTATCAGGAATATTGCTGTCATTGCATTTTCGCGTGAAAAATAATAAAGAAATGAGCCTTTTAGGATTGGGGAGATGGGTCAGTGAGTAAAGCAAGTGTGAAGACCAGAGTTGGGATCCATAATCCAACCATGTAAAAGCGGAGTGGGTATAGCCGCCTGCCTGGAATCCCAGCATTTGGGAGGCAGAGAAAGGGAATCTCCTAAGAAAGCTGGTTGGCCAGATGAGCTGCAACAGTGAGCCTCAGACTCAATGTATAAGGCGGAGAGTGATCAAAAAAGAGCCTGGATGTCAGCCTCTGCCCCCTACAGACGTGTCCTTGTGCTTGTGTACCACGTACATACATGTGCCCCCACACATGGGAACACATCCATATACAGCAACACACATAAAAATAGAAATCACCATTTTACTAATTCTTCAGTTTATTTGAAACTGAAAGCTATAGCCAGCTCCAGGCATAATGTAGTTTCTGCATATTGGATGCCATATAAATATGCATTTATAAACTAACCCTTTCACTACAGAGTGTTTAATCAAGTTCTTTTTGGGTAGAATTATAATGTGTGTGCACATGATGTGTGATCATGACCATGCATGTGTGCATGCATGTTGAAACCAGGAGACAACTTTGGTTGTTGATTTTTCAGGAGCCATCCACCTTATTTTCAGACACAGGGTTTCTCTCACTGGTTGAAGCTTGTCAAGTAGGCTAGAGTAGCTGCAAGAAGCCCGTGGGAATCTACCTGTCTCTGCCTCTCTGCCTCTCAGCACAGGTTTGAATGTGGACAGTTCACTAACTGAAGTGATGTGATTCAAAGAATGGCTAGGAGTTTGGTGGGGACTTTTCAAGTCAGTAGAATGACATGCAAAAGCTCATAGTTATAAAGTGGTTTGGCCAGGAATTGAGAGTAGTTTAGAATGACTGGAGATTTTGATAATTAGCAGACATAATAGGATTCTTCATAATTTATTGAATTGGAACTTGGAAGGAAAGGTAAAATTCAGGGATTAGACAGACTTTGAGCTTGGATCCCTAGGAAAATTTAGAAGGGGAAGGGGGTTCATGGTGAAGTTGATCCTAGTCCTAAGTAGCAGTAAGTGCTATGAAGAAAATAAAAGAGTACTAGTGCAGAGCTGTGAAAGAAGCAGAGTTTTAGCATAGAATGGTCAGAACCCGCTTTTCCTGAGATGCAGTGTTTGGGCTAAAGGACTGAATGAGGGGAGGGATATCTAATGGATGTCTGGAGAGAAACGTATGCCAAGTAGAGGTGAGAGTTCATGAATAGAAACGTGGGCGGTGATACCATTAACTTCAAGAGTGAAAGTGAGAGTTCAGTTGGGAGGGAAAGAGATCTCTAAAAAATGAGATCAGAGTGGTAGTCAGGGAAGTATGGTCATGGTTTTGAATTTTATTAAATATACAAGGCATATATGATATGATAATTCATTTAAAAGGATCACTCTGACTACTGTCTGGGAATAGGTTATGAGGATGAAATATAGAAATGCCAAGAGACTTAGAAGACTACTTCGTTGCTCTAATTGAGATCATAACTTGGACTTAGGTAGCAGTGGAACATGTAAGAATATGATTGACATGAGAGGTACCTGGAAGTTAAGCCAGTAGGATTTACTAAAACATATGCTTAGTGATGTTTTACTGTAGTTTAGTCATTGTAGTAATGAAGAGTGTCCTACTTTGCTTTAAAAATCAAAGACAAATTTCCACATGCAAACATTTAGGTATAAATATGTATTTTGCCTTCTTCCAGGTTTGACTACTCAGGAATTGGAAAATCAGATGGTAACTTAGCAGAATGCACAGTGGGGAAATGGAGGAAGGATGTACTTTCTATACTTGATGATGTAGCTGAAGGACCACAGGTAACTATTTTTGTTAAGTAGAATGAGTTTTGACTCAAGCAATATTTGATTTGTTTCTTTAGATATGTCAATTGATAATATTTTGTCAGTTTTGATTTTGATGAACAATTTTGATTTAAAATTGTTCTGTTTTTACTTTGTAATTAGCAATAAGCACTTCTCATTGAACTAAGTTTGTTTTCATAGTTCTGTATTATAGACATAATGGCTTTGCAAAGGTTATATTGGGAGGCAGAAGCAGGTGGATCTCTGAGTTTGAGGCCAACCTGGTCTAGAAAGCAAGTTCCAGTACAGCCAGGGCTACACAGGAGAAAAAAACAAAAGCAAAAAAATAGTTTTAATTGAATTTTACTTTGTGTAACATATTAAAAGTCTAGGATCTACACAGTTATATAAAATGCAAAGTCCAAATATTTCTATTAAACTGTTCTTTTTATAGACTAGTATGAGAATACTCTTTAAAGCCATAGATGTTTGTTTTTAGATACTGGTCGGATCCAGCCTTGGAGGATGGCTCATGCTGCATGCTGCAATTGCGCGGCCTGAAAAGGTCGTAGCTCTTATTGGTATAGCTACTGCTGCAGATGACATGGTGACACAGTTCCGTTCCCTTTCTGTTGAGGTAAGTCACAAGCCATTGGACAACCCCAGTGAGTACTCACTAAGGTTCTTCTGCCTTCTCTCTGTGCTTGTGCACTGACTGCCTCTAACCTCTTACAGCTCCCTGTCTTCTGCCTTTGCTGCCCTTCTGTGCAGTCTCGTAGGATTCCTTTTCTCATGGCTCCTTGTAAGCAGCCTGCCAAATGCACGAGCCACGTCAGTGAAGTCTTGCTGCATACTTCCTCTTTTAGCTATATTTATTTCAGTCACCCATTGGAATTCCATTCACTGGTTCCTTTTTTCTCCTTTCGGTCTCAAGTTTGTGGAGCGTGGAGAGTATCTGAGACTGAGGAAACAAGTGAAACTTCCTTTTTTTTTTTAACTAAAAACAGCCTACAAGCACACAAGAGGCAGAGCTTATTTTTTTCTGGTTCAAGTGCTTGGTTAGCATTCTTTCTACTAGTTCATGTCTTATAGCAAAAGGGAAGCAGTGCTTTTCATCAGGTTTTTCAGCAATTCATTGTCAAAATGAAGTTTCTGAACTAACTGGGAAGAGAACTGATGTGTTTAGGCAGTATCCTAGTTAGGGTTTCTATCACTGTGATGAGATACCATGATCAAAAGTAAGCTGAAGGAAAAAGCTTATTTGGCATATACGTCCACATCATAGTCCATCATTGAAGGAGATCAGGACAGGAACTCAAACGGAGCAGGAACCTGGAGGGAGGAGCTTATGAGGAGGACATGCAGGGGTGCTGCTTAATGGCTTGCTCCTCGTGACTTTCTTAGCCTGCTTTCTTATAGAAGCCAAGGTCTTGAGCCCAGAGGTGGTAACACCCACAGTGGACTGGGCCCTCCTCCATCAGTCACTTATTAAGAAAATGTCCTGTAGGCTTCCTTCCAGCCCCATCTTATAGAAGCATTTTCTTAATTGAGGTTCCCTTCTCTTCGATGACTTTAGCTTGTGTAAAGTTGGCATAAACTAGCACAGACAGTTTAGTTATCTGCAAGGACAACGGAAGAGTAATGTCTCTGTCTGTTTGTACATCTGTGTTGTTTCAGTGCCTTCATTTGAGTTTTCCTCTTCTGTGGAACTTAGTTCCTGGTAGGTCAAAGACATAGAAATTTGAAAAGGGAAACATTGTTTCCAAATGGGTTTCCAGACCTAGTGATCAACCTTGAACTTCATATTTTGAGTCAGAAATGTGTTCAACAAGCTCCCCCCACAGTAGAGTCTGAGAACCAGTTTTGAGAGTTCAGGAAGAAGAAGGGAGGTAAACAATAAAATGAAGTACATAACATTGAATAGTGTGAGCGTTACTGACTTTTGCCTCGGGTTCTTCCATCTGTGCCATAGGGTATCTGAGTTTGTCCTTAGTTCATGTTGTTCTTGCTTCTTAAGACAGCCTTGTTGGAGCTGGGGAGATAGTGCAGTTGTAAAATGCTTGTCATGTGACCATGAAGATTTGAGCTAACCCCAAACCCATACTTTTTGTCTTGGCTTGCTTTTTAAAGCTGATAGGCTAGGGAAATGGCACAACAGATGAAAATGCTTGACAGCAAGACTGACAACCTGAGTTCTGTCCCTTGGACTGGCTTGATAGAAAGAAAACCTATGACTTCCACACATGCCCTGTGGCATATGCAAGCATCCCCTCCCTCCAAAAAAATGTAATTAGGAAAAAAAATGTAATGTTAGGTATAGTGGTGTGCCCTTGTAATCCCAGTGCTGATATGGCAGATAGGTAGATCCCTGGAGCTTCCTGGCCAGCCTGGGTCGTCTACATGTTGCCACATGACTCATGGCTTGTACCTCTTTGCTTGCATGTCTGTTCCCTCTGCCTCCACTGGAGAATCGGTCTTCTTCCCAGAATTGTCTCTGTCCCAAAAATCCTGCCTAGGCCCAGCTATTGGCTATTTAGCTTTTTATTAAACCAATCAGAGTGACTTTTCTTCACAGTATACAAAAAGATTATTCCACAGCACTTCCTGACTCACCAATACAATGCTTTGCGTGATAGGAAATTTTCTCAAGGAAAATATATAGCTTGAAAAGGAGTTCTTTAAACACTGTTTGTAAATTACAAGATCTATGCACATTCTTTTTGCATGTGTGTAACTAAATTGCTCAGCATGTAGATAAGGTGGATATTAAAAATCAAATGCAAGGTGTCTTGGGTAGAGTTAGTACTGCTGTGATAAAACTCCATGACCAAAAGCAACGTAGAGAGGAAAGGAAGGCTTTATTTCATCTTACAACTCTCAGGTCACACTCTGTCACTGAGGGAGGAGTCAGGACAGGAGCTGAAGGCAAGAACTGAATGAAGCAAAAGCCACAGAGACAGGCTTCTTTCTTCCTTGCTTGGTTTTGGTTTGCTCATCGTGCTTTCTTACAGAATTCAGGACCAACCGTTTAGGTTTGACACCAGCCACAGTGAGCTGGGCCTTCCCCCATCAGTGAATAAAAAGCCCTACAAACTGCCTGTAGGTCAGTATTAGGGAGGCATTTTCTCAGTTGAGAGCCTTTTCCTGAATGACTCTAGCTTTTGTCAAGCTGTCATAAAACCAAACAGCACAGAGGAAAGCACTGGGACACTGGGAACCCTGCCTCCCCATTAACCACTAGTCCTAAGATGTCAACAGAGCCAAAGTGGAGAGCTTTGCCAACTTCCCGAAGCTTCGGGCTATTGTGTGCAATGTTTCTCATTATTATCTAGAAAGAACTGTCTGTGGTCATTATCTTCTTTGTGTATTAGAGGATCATAGACACAGTTCCTAGGTATTTGGAATCTAAGCAGCTAAAAACCATAATGCCTGAGAGCGCTTCTTAGAGTACATATCATGCATATATCTATTCTATACAGTTTGTCTGAGTAATGCTGTCTTACTTACTGCCAAACTTTTTTGGAGTTTAGTTGGGAAAACTTTATTCTTCAAATGAACAGTATTCCTTTCATTTGAGGGCAGATAACAAGTAGGGATCACAGATGCTTAAAATGAAAATTACTAATTCAGTATGTTCTTACTTAACAGGTGGAACAAAGTTTTCAATGCTGGAGTACAGTATAGTGTTGCTTGAAGATAATAATCATTTTTGCTTTAGAAACTTGTTTTGCATTTTGATACTAACATGGATTCATATACTTTTCAGATTTACAAAATTTCATTGATTTCTTTCCATAGTATGGAAATAGAAATTTATAATCATTTAATATCTTTTCATGGAAGCTTAAAAAACAAACACATGTACTAAATAAGTAAAAAGCATAGAAAATTATGTAAATATGTAATTGATAATATGTTTTATATGTTATAAACTTAAAAACAAAGCATTTAGAAAACTATTGGAAGAAAATAAATCAGAATAATAATGATATAGCCATAAGGTAGTGATTTTTAATGTACTTTTATGTATTTTCTGTTATTTGCATAGGAAATTCCAAGTTTTGAAAAATATTTAATTTTTAACTCTGTGTGTGTGCATGCCAGTGCATGTGTGTGCAGGTATGTGCAGTCAGTGTGTTTGTTGTCCATGAAGGCCTAAAGAGGGTCAGATCCCTTGGACCTGAAGTTATAGACCATGAGGTGCCTGCCCGATGTGGGTTCTGGGAACCCAGCTAGGTCATATGCAAGAGCTGGAAGCACTTGTAACTGCTGAGCCTCCCTCCAGCCAGAAAATTCCAATTTTTAATTAGAAAAATTATTGAATGCAAGTAAATGAAATCTAAAACTCAGTTTATTAGAATCTAGAAATATGGTTGCCAAGGCTTCTGTGTTACCCAAACTAGTAAGTAAACCCTCACCCCTAGAGTGCTGAGAGGTAGCTCTGTGTATTTTAACAACTTTCTGTCAACCTAAATTGCGTGAGTGATTGTTTTGAAATTTCAAAAACAATTGTTCTAAGATTTACTTTAAAATATCACTGTCTTGGGACCAATTCCCAGAAATTGCTCTACTTTTTACCTTCCTTCTCCCCTTTCAGTTGGGGTAAAGCAGAACTTGCTGTAAGAACTTGTATGATAGGAAATCTGCTAACTACAACAGTTTCTGTCTTTGGACTTTGAGTATGATATTAAACTGTAAGCCTTCTTTCTTTTGTAAAAGTAGAGTGACTACAGAATTATTTCCAGGATTGTATGAAGTAATATGCTTTGCATGTACTAATAATCTTTGTTTTCTTTTGATGGGGTTTCTCTGTGTTGCTCTGGCTGGTCTGGAATTTGAACAGGGTATGTAGACCACGCTGGCCTCAAACTGACAGATCTCTGCCTGCCCTTACCTAGAGGGTGCTGGGATTAAAGGTGTGCACCCCACCTGGCCCAATTTTTGGTGATCACTCTTGATGCTCCTGTGTTGCCTCTGTCCTCTCACTTAAGGACTGCCTTTCTCAGACTCTTCAACTCTGCTACGGGGTTATTCATATTCATGCTTTTATTTTTCCCACTAGACTCAAAAGGAAATAGAAGTGAAAGGGGAGTGGACCTTACCATCTAAATACAACAAGGAAGGATTTTACCAAATTCCATACAGTTTCATTAAAGAAGCGGAGCACCACTGCTTGTTACATAGCCCCATTCCTGTGACCTGCCCTGTGCGCTTGCTCCATGGCATGAAGGACAGCATAATTCCTTGGCACACATCTCTGCTAGTGGCTGACCGACTTGTCAGCCCAGATGTAGATGTCATCCTCCGGAAAAACAGTGACCACAGGATGAAGGACAAAGCAGATATTCATCTGCTTGTTTGCACTATTGATGACTTGATTGACACGCTCTCAACTGTAGTTCACTAGAATCTCATTTGTGATTGGTGCACACTCTAATGCATCCAGAAGATTGAAAGAATGGTAGTAAATCAAAGACCCAGATACATTAGAGTTCCCTCTTTTTCTTTGTAAATGCCAAGAAGTATTTATTTAATGATGTCTTTGCACAAATATACAAATTGTGACAAAAGTATTAGCTTCTGTTTGGAAAAATTTGTCCTTCCTTTTATCTTTGATATTTTCCCATTAAAATAGTACCTATTTTTTTATTCAAGAGATGTTTACCTTTCTTATGCATACTTTAGTCGTGCCAGCTCTTATGTTCCCTTGTACTACAATAAAGCTTTAATATTTTGGTTTTGTTTGGTACCATTATATGTGGAAGTTTGTAAATTCTGATTTTTAAAATGATTCACAAAATAGAGGAAGACGTTTATTGCAATAAATTTGAAATGATTCTAAAAATGTCTGAAGCACAATAAAGTTGAAACAATGAGGATACCATGCTATATTTGTAACTAAAATTACTATTTAATTTTTTAAGGCTAACTTTTATAGTGTTGTAAAAGGTATTTCTAAATTTTGTATTGTCATTTTTATGAGAGTCTTCCAGGTTTTTTGTTGTTGTTGTTTAGTTTATATATAAAATAATGGGTATTATCTTTTTTCTTTTTTTTTTTTTTGAGACGGGGTTTCTCTTTGTAGACCTAGGTGTCCTAGAACTACCTCTTGTAGACCAGGCTGGCCTCAAACTCACAGAGATCTGCCTGCTTCTGCCTTCCAAGTTCTGGGATTAAAGGTGTATGCCTCCTCTGCCAGGCCAGGTATTATAACTTCTAACACCTGTATCTTACTGTACCTCACTCATATATATCCCGCTGCTCGGCCTTGTCTCCCTCTCTGCTTTTCCCCACACCCTTCCTCTCTTCAGTCTCCTTTCTGCCTTCAAGTCATTCTTCTCCGTGAAAGACAACATAAGAGACTCCTTCCCTCTCCCTCCATTCCCCTTTCATGCTCCCCCTACCCACTTTAAACCCTTCTCTGATTTAGTCTACATTCTCCAGCCGTATCATATATGTGTTTAAATCGACATTCTACATATGAGAGAAAACAAACTCCATATCTAATGCATTTTACTTTACAAAATCTCAATTCTACCCATTTTCCCACAAACATGCCTTATATTTAAATGCTATTCATCTAATGATGCATTTGTTTTTATAGAGTGGTTAAGACTGAAGAGAAAAACTGATTTTTCTGTACTAGCCCTGCTTTCAAGAATACGTTCTACCAGTCTGACTTAAGTGCAAAGTCAGGTACTTACTACCTTAGTTAGAGTGGCAGAAGTGTAGAGTCAGTAAGGAAACAGGAAATGCTAGTATAAAGCATGCTTTTTAATAACTACTGGGATACTAATCTTAATATATTTGCCTTTAGATTAAGTTGTGGTTTGTTTTTTAGTTACTAATTTTGACTAGACTTTAGACTTCATGAGTTATGTCTAAGTTGAAAACTTGACTCCTAAAATGAGTATATGTCAAAGACTTATAAACCAGAGTCAGCAGATGGTAAACCTGGTTCAAAGGATAGTTTAAGAAACTGGGTATTTATAGCCATTGAAGAAAAAGGTTGTGATAAAGCTCCTGTGCAGGAAAGTGTTACAGCTGGTTCGCAGACCATCCTGAAAAACATACTTAATGAATTGGCCGTTGATTGCCTGGGAACTTGGATTTCAGGGACTATGACCAGCACTGAAATCAGTAGCTCACTGTGCTTACATGAACTCTGCAAGCACTAGTTTGTGCTGAACCCTACTTTTTCCCAGGTGCCCAGAATATTGGTATATGTGGGACAGAGACTACCTCTGAGTCATTCTGTAAAACCCCTTGGCACTGCCTCTTAACAAGCTTCTTTGTGGACAACATCATGTGAGCTATCACAGCCCTTTGCTGGAGACCCAGTTTTAGCCTGTGTGACTCCAGTGTGGATTCTTGGAAGCTTTCCCCCAGTTTCCCTGGACTTTGCCCCATGTGGCTTTTCCCTTTGCTCACTCTTCTTTGGATCCTTTCACTCTAATAAGTCAGTAATGAAAGCAGCTGCATGGTGAGTTGTGCGCATTCCAGCAAGTTTGCACACCTGGGATGGTCTCAGGAACCTCTGATACATATACAATTAAACTAATCCATGATTATCAGATATTAAAAACAAAACATGAATCCTATGAGCCTTGTTTCCTTGAGCTAGAATGGGGCCATTTGGGGACCCCTCTGGCCAGATATTGCTAGGCATGAAGAGAATCAATGAAGAGGACAGGGTCCCTGTCCTCTAGAGATTTCTGGAGTTAAACAAAATGTAATGAGGTAGGAGAGTGAGCATGTGTGAATGCAGTGTGGCAGTTAAGGTAGGAATTGGAGCTTGGGGATGCATCCCGTGAGGTGAGAGACTCAGCATGTGTCCACGCAGTATGGGAGTTAAAGTACAAAGTGAACCTTGGGGCTGTGTGGTAATTTGAATGCAGTTGGCCCCCATAATCTCACAGGGAGTGGCACTATTAGGAGGTGTGGCTTTGTTGGAGTGGGCATGACCTTGTTGGAGGACAAGTGTCACTGTGGGGGCAGGCTTTGAGTTTTCCTATGCTCAGGATACTGCCCAGTGTCTCAGTCGATTTCCTGTTATCTGCAAGATGTAGGACTCAACGCTACTCCAGCACCTTGTCGGCCAGGAGGCTGCCATGCTCCCTGACATGATGCTAATGGACTGAACCTCTGAAAACTATAAGCAGGCCACCCCAACCAAATGTTATCCTTGCTAGAGTTGCCATGGTTATGACATCTCTTCACAGCAATAAAAACCCAAAGTAAGACAGGCTGCATTCCAGCACATGTAATAGCAAATTTGCCTTTTGTGCTTCAATTACCGCATCTGCAAAATGGTATAAATCTAGGTAATAGATATAACCCGTAAAGAGGAACAGCCCATTTAGCATAGTGATGTGCAGGAGGTGCTGTATTCCTTGTGTTGTTATGCATGGAACATGGTCTGGAGAGGAACTGATGGACATCGACCCGTAATACTATAGGAAGGAAAGGGGAAGCAGTGGGACCTCTTAAGCTGAAGGATATTTGATTTCCTAACAGAAAGATCTCAAATCGGAATGGTATTTTTATCATGTTTATTCAAATGATCAATGACCTACTCCCCAATTTTTTTTTACAGAAGGAAAACCTCTTAAAATTTAGTTTAGCAGGAGTTGACATTATAGAACTCAAATGAGATTAACTTGATATTTTTATCAAGTGTAAGTTCAGTAACAGGAATAGGATATGTTTAATAAATTGTTGGTCAAAGGAGCACCCAAACAACTCAGGCTATTGCCAATGCTATACCACAATTCATGGTAAAGCCCTATTGCTGAACACAACATCTACATAGCTCATTGAACATGGAGACGTTGCCCTGGTTTCTAACTAAAGCCTCCACCTCTACTGACTAGTGCTTGTGGTACTGGAAGTTACTCTTCATATTACCAAGGAGAAAGGTAACCACCCAGATACAAATCCCATAATCTACAATAGTGGCCTGCCTGCATGATACACTGGGACAATAGTGGCACAAATGTAGGAGTAACCAACCACTTTCTGATTGAACGTAAGGCCCATACCAAGAGATGGAACCCATGCCCAACATGACTCAAGTGGCCAAGAACCTTGTGTCTAGGGGAAAACCAGACTATTGTTCTGTTAAAGGAAGGTAGTAACCAAATGTCTCCTAATGACATTCTGCTGTTCCCATTGGTAAGTGCTCAGCCATCATCAGAGGCTTCCACTTACAGTAGACAAGCTAATACAGAGACCGGCAACTGGACAATGTAGAGAGTAAGATATTTTGGAACACCTAGTCCTAAACAGATGTCTTCATCAGACCCCTCCCTTTAGGGCTCGGACTATTATTTGAAGAAGTAGTAGAAACATTGTAAGAGCCAGAGGGGATAGATGACACCAAGGAGTCAGTCCTCGACACAACAGGATTGATTTACCTAAGAACTCAGAAACCATGGTAGCATGCTCAGGGTACCAGCACTGGGTGGCTGGCAAGAGAAGTGGATATGAGCTCTCACCCTTATCCAAGAAGCTATCTCCAGTTGACAACTGGTTGCAAATGAAAAACCCATTCTCTCCAATGGAATCTCACTAGGTATGTAAACCACACTTAAGTACAGGTTCCATGCCCAGAATAGGTGGCCACCATAAACCAAACTCAATGATATTTTTGTAGATTTTTTTTGTTTCCTATTGCTTTGTTTCAGCTCTTTTTTTTTTTCAGTTTCACTGGTCTCTTGATTATATATTATGGTTTCTAATTTTGTGTTTTTATGGGTTTTATTCTGTGTGTCTGTATGATGTTTGTGTGTTTCTTGTGCTTTTCCTTTATTTTTGTTTTTTATTCTGTATTATTTGTTTCTTTTAATTTGCTTGTTTTCTAAAGACAGAGAGAGAGAGAGAAGGAAAATATGGAGTTGGATGTGGATCCAGGAGGTAATGGGGGAGGAGAAACCACGATCAGAATATATTGTATGAAAAAATTATTCTCAATAAAAAATGTAATAGGGTACAGTGTGTTGTCCATTATTGATTCTTCTCCCCCCTCACCTCACCCCACTCCCCCCCTTGTATGTGTGTGTATGTGTGTGTGTGTGTGTTATACACAGGCCATTTTTTTTTTCCTGAAACTGCTCTATGCTGTGTATTCAATGGCATGTGAAATTCGTGAACACACAGCAGGTCCATGTATCTTATCATCTGGAATTTCAATATGATTTTCAAAGTGACATGCACCTACTAAACAATTTGAGCATGTGCAATGAGAAGGGATATGGCAAATCACTAAGAACGGGAATGCTAATCAAAGATGTATAATATCCCTTGCCTTTGCCATGCCTTCGAAACATTTCCTGATGCAAAGCTCTAAGCAGCCAATGATGATAAGTCTAAACAATAATTAAACAAGAGGAGAAATATACATATCACAAAATTGACCTTAAATTTGTATCAATAAATGAAAATCCACTCCAAAACAAAGTATTCATTCTTATACCATAATCCCCTTTTACCTTTAAAAAGATTGGTTGTGATCATTAACTATTTATAACCAAATCCATTTAAATGAAAAGAAAAGTTTATAAACAATATTTGGGAATTTGGGCATTGTTCATTTCAAACTGCTTCCTGCTGGTTGGGAGCACTGTTCTTACCATGGGAATCATGGTAAAACACAGAAACCTGGCCAAGTCCTTCTTTTTGTAGTTTTTAAGACTGTATCATCTCAGCTGTTTTAGATGTTGGATCACCTGAAGCAGTGGCTTCAAGGGGTCTTGCTTCATCAAACCATGGAAGTGTGGAAGGAATCCACAGCCTTTTATTTTCTGTGGAAACAAACAAAAACTCTTTTCTCAAGTAACCTGTCCTTATGTTTAAATTTAGAAGTTAAAGCATTTTTAAA